TTTAATATCTTTAATCTTTTTTCCCATAGCAATAGCATCATTAAGAATACTATCATAAATTCCTTCTAATGTATCTTCATCCAGATCAAGTAAAACAATACCTTTGAAATAAAAACGAAAAAAAAAAGAATAATTTTCTTTCAATAGAAAAATTTTAATTTTTTTTTATTTACAAACCATAATGTAAACCACGATGTAATTCAAGTAAACTACGAAAATTTAAACAACCAATTCTTGGTGCTAAAACATGACAAATCAAACTATTAAAAAAACAAAAATATGAACACTTATCAGAATACAAACCTTGCCAACGTTGCATTTCAACATCAAAATCTTCTTCATATCGAATCCATCTATACAATATAAAAGATCTTTATTTTTTTAAAACATTTTCTTTTCATTGTTTTACCTTGCACATTCATGCCAATAATATTCATTATCATCATCTAATCTTAATTCTTGTAATTCAATAAATAATTCATTAGGTGTATGATCAATAGACTTGAGAACACAAAAAAGAAAACAGATAATAAGTTTATTATTTGTTGATAATTATGAACAAAAAAAGAAAGAAATTAATATGCATACTAATCGTCCTTTATGTGCACGTTTGTAACTTGATCGATGAGTAATTCCACGTCGTTTTCCACTATTCTGTGAAATTGCAGTTGGTGTTGGAGGAATGCCGGCTGGTGATAAATTAGCTGGATTAGTTTTTGTTGATGAATTTTTATCAGATGATGTTGGAGATTCAGGACATGAAGATGAACTTATATAATCTTTATTAATAAAGAAAAGAAAAGAAAAAACAAAATCATATACAATACTATATTAGTTTTCTATAATACTTGTTAAACTTATGTTATCCATGTTGTTAGATGTAATCGTTGGATAGGAAATTTTTGTTTTGTCAACTTTAGATGGATGATGTTCGAAATGTTTTGATGATGTTTTATCAATTTCGTCATCTGTAATAACAATACGTGGAACAGCAATTGTGTTACTACGTGCACCAATATTTTGATTGCTACAATAAATAATAAATATGATGAAAATGATGATGTTGATGACATGCAAACATCTTTCAGTTTTAGTGTGTTAGTATGTGTTTGTGCATTAGAAAAAAGCAGTTTGTTAGGAAGTGTCTTTCATTCTTCTTCTTTTTTTCCTCGTTTTTGTCGTCTAATTCGATCATATCCGTTCTAAAACCAACAGGGTACGCGAATGAATCGGAAACTGGCAATGACACGTCGTTATCGTTTATTAAAGCAAAATATGGATAGATCAAAAGAAGAAAGAAACACGAAAAGAGCATAGGTAGCAAGCCTCAATTAGGCTAATTTATAACGACTAGAAGTTAAACTTATTTCTTCAAACAAGTAAGCACGTTCGAACGTGGGTTTTTTTTCTGTACTTTGTATATTGATTTAATTGAATCTTCTTTTTTTTTCTGTTACAGAAGGATAATAAGGTAATTTAGAATTGAAAGAAAGAAAAGTTTTTTTTCTTTCTTTCAATCTATTGAACAATATAATAGCAAATAATGATGTTAGTCATGTATAAAACTATAAACATATTGATGATGATAGGGGAAAATGACGTCTCTTTCCATCGTTTCCTTTTGTAAGCTATGTTTTCATTTTTGTGTGCCTAGGGGTTGTCATGATTTAGCATGCAAATTAGAACAAAATTTATTACAACGATCAGTTCAGCTGTTCAGATTAGAGCAAAAACTATATAGTCGTTATTTCAATTCGAAGATAAAGCTAAGAATAACAAGAAAAAAAAAGATATTCATGTCTTAACAAGCGCAACAACTTGTTCTTTTCTTCTCCATAAGTTATATTTGACACATAACGAGTGGGCGGACGAACTTCAAAATCGATAAAGATTTATGAGACTATACAATAAACAAATAGAATCATAGTTTTTTTTGTATCTTGTAAGAAACAGTTTTTTTGCCTTTTATGAATAATGAAATAAAGATTGAGAAGTTTTTGTATGTGCGTGTTCATTTTGTATTTTTATTTTTTTTTAAGATTATGAAAAGAAATAATAGAGTTAATGATGAAAGAAAGTATATAGCGAAGAACAATAAATCTAAATGATATGAAATAATTTCCGTGCAATAAACGAATATTATTATTATAGTCTTACATTTTCACTATTTGATTATTTCTTTATTATATAAAAAAAAAAAGAGCAAAAAGTAAATATGAAGCATTTGTATTCTAAAATATTTATGTCGATATAAAATTTCTTTGTTACTTCAAAACTATACTAATTATTAAGTATCATGTAAAGAGAAAAATATTTATTCACCAAAAAAAAAAAACTAATTAAAACTTGTAAACCTAACGAAAAAAATTCATTGGTACGGACTTGTCATTTACATATAGACTGACAATGACAATGACATTTTTTTATAATTTCTTTTAATATAATTTAAAATGTGAAAAACTCTATGAATCAAATATTGACTTGTTTTATCTTCTATATGAAAAATTTTCAAGTACAAAAAGTGTAAAGAAATGATTTTCATACATTAAAATAGATAAATAAATAAATGACTTAACATACTCATATAAATTATCTTCATTTTGTATTTGTGTTGTGTTTGTTTTTGTTGATGTTACATCAATTTCATGAGAGACATCATCTACAACTTGTTCTTTTACATATTTGACATGTGGTTTATGTTGTGAAAAAAATGGACGGTCTAAAATTCAATAGATTAAGTTAATAAATTAGAACAAAGAACAAGAAAAGAAAAACCAAGAAAAAAAGCTAATCAAATCCGATTGTAATAACATACTAGTTCTCCAACAACTCATCAGTCATCAATAGCGAACAGCAGTATATAATTGGATAATTGTAGTTATTCAAATACTAGTACATATATACTAGTAGATATTATCAATGCCATCGTATAAGTATTTCCCATGAGTACTTTGGTAGTTTAATCAATATGCATAGATCTTGCTTGTAGATCGATGATATATCAGAGGTTGTGTTTTTTTTTCCTATTTTCTCCTAGGCTGTTTTTCTTTCGCTCCTCTTTTTTTGTTTATAAGAATTTCTACAAATGATGTTCTTCATATCTATCTCTAGACTAATGATAATCCATCGTTCTTCATGTAGGTGAAGAACCTGACGATCATTTCTACTTGTCTGATTTTTGTCAGGCTTGTCTATCATTTGATGTGCAAGATACTATTTCCGACTTTTTTTTCCCTTGCATATATAGAATTCTTTTTATTTTTAGTTTTTGTTATAAATGACAATGATAAGTATATAAATATTGGCAACATAATTTATAGAAAAGACAACATGTGCATGTCAGATTATTTGTTGAATTTAGATTTTTGCAAGAGGCTTATCTTTATCAGGTACTCAGATTTTAGTAATAAATCTCATGAATAAAAAAAACCGAAGGCTTTGTATTTATTAGAATTGATTCTCTTACCATTGTAGTTAATACTTTGTCGAAGCGAGTGCTTATCCATTTGTTGACAATAACTGTTAGTAATATTTTGATGTTCATCATCATTATTATTATTATGAGTCTCATCAATATTTTCTTCAATCGTTGGTAAAACTAAAATTATTGATGTTCCCATCGTTTCTCTACTAGTATTATTTCGATGCATCAAAGACTGATTATGCATGCTTATGTAAGCACAAGAATGGAAAAAAATGGGAAGAGTTGTTAGACTATACATCTATAAATTAAGTGTCAAGTGTCAAACATTTAAATGGAAGAAGGGATGCAATAATGTGTCGATATAACAGCAAACTCCATAGAGGGACAACTGTGGGCGACACAAAAAAACGAGGTATAAGTTTACTGAAGCACACATTTACAGACATGGTATAAACAACTTTTACCTGAAAGGATAAGACTGTCATCATCGTCGTTGTCACTATCAATACTGAAACTGTTTTCAATTAGCTCATTGTTATATTCCGCAAATTCTTTGACACTTTTCGAATCATTATCGTTATGTCCAAAAACAAAAACACTCAATTGAGCAGGAATATGTCCATGATTGATATTTGTTTTTGATGAATGCATATTTTTTTTTTGTTCTCTATTTAAACATGATTAATCATTTCTGAATAACTATAAAAAATTAATTACTAAATTGAATAGTTACATTCAAAAAAAGTTCATTGTCTTACATAACGAAGAACTAAAAAAAAGAGAAAAAGAACAGAAAACAATAAAATGACATCGAAGAATCTTATTTTTGCTTGTGTTCTATTAATGACTTAATGTTAGAGATGTAGAACGCAGACGACAATATTTTTTTAAAATAAAACGAATAGCAGAGAATATGTTGCCAATGAGAAAAAGCATAACAACAACAAAAAAAAAAAAGAAGAAGAAAAGGATCACGACAATGATGGTAATTAGCAGACAGACAAAAAAAAAAAGAAAATAAAACGATGAAAACAAAAATGCTGCCAGCTACAAAAATAACTTGTCGAAATAAAATGTCTGAGTACTGAATTAACACGCATGTCTCTCGAGAATAAATCACACAAGCATATCTATACACGTTTCCTTTTTTATAGTTTGACATTTAATAAACTTACGACAATCAACTTATAAGACAATACTTCATGTCGTCCTTATTCTTTTCTATTTTGGTTAGTTATTATTATTTTATGAAACTAAATTTTTTTTTATTAATTAAGAACTTTGAATAATTCAATGTTAACAAGAAAGAAAAAGAAAAGAAAATGTAATTTCCTGTTCGATTTTCTTCGGAGTTTTATATTAATATAAGATAAAGAAAAGAAAAATGACGATATTCTACTATTTTAGATGTGAACATCAATCCATAGTAATCTTAAATAAGAAGATTATTTATGTTAATGGAACTTTGGTTTTCTTTATTTTTTAAAATATCATATTAGATAGTTTTTTTTTTCTTTTATTAACTTGATTTATAATCTTTTTCTTGTCAATACAAACAAGTGTTTTCTTTTTTTTTTTAAAAGTCTATTAAGCGTTTACGAGGATGATAAATATATGGTAAAAATGGTTGATTCCCATCATCCATGTTTGATATTATATGATGATTATAATTATTTGACAATTGATGAGGTTGTAAAAATTTATAACCATGTCCATAGTGAACGATTGGTCGATATGACGATGCTGATGGATGACCATAGATATTTCCACTTGATATAACGAGAAGTACGACGAGCGTAACTGTAAAGACAGTCATGATGCGTATATATTGAGAAGATAGAAATATTTTGTGAAGTAAAAAAATGACTATGCGTTTGTAGTTTTTATAAGCGTTTATTAACGGTTTTTTGATTTATTACGATATTTAAGTATGATTAAATGTACTCATATTACATATAATTTTAATTAGCATTTGTGTAGTCAATTTACTCATTTGTTTTTGTTATTTTTAAAGTTCTCTATGTTAAAGTGTTTCTTGAGAGTACTAGAAACTAAAAATATCCTTCTTTTTTTTGTTTTTAAATAGAATTTCTACCAGTTAAAACTGAAAAAAAATCTTGTTTGAACAGCTGAACAAGGTAAACTACATTCATACCATGTAAACGACTAAATCAATCATACTCAAGTTACATTAATATACGCGAACGATTTTTGACAAAGAATAACTAAATTAAAGTATCAATATGTTTATCAAGTACAGATTTATCTTTATATCCCATGCATGTGGTATAGTATATACTAATTAGCATGCATGACTATGAAAAATGCATTTTCCACAAGGGTGCCACTATTAGTTAGGTTCTTCATTTTTTTTTCTTTTGTAAATGTACTCATATTCTTTGACCTACGAAACGTTTTTGTTTCTAAGATCTATTTATTTTTGTAATTGTAAATTATTAAAAATTCATTTGATTCAACCATGAACAATCATTTGAAAATGAATTACAATTCTCGAATTTAAATGATAAATTAATGAGAATTATCATTTTAAGGTGTATTTATTTTATTTTTGATTGATAAGCAAAAATGAGCACACTTGATTTTTTTTAAGAACAAATAGAATAATTCACATAATGGAACGTAAGCGAAGAGGCAAAAAATAAAAATAAGAGAAAACAAAAATGAAATCTGACATATTAAACATAATCACGCGGTGGATAACGTTGTTGTTTTTGTTCGGAATAAGGATTGATTGTTGTTGCATATACTCGCTAAAACAATACCAAATAAAATATATATATAAATCTTTATTTTATAATTTGATTGATTCAAAGATATGAATATACTACATTATTATTTGTACGACGATTTTCTTCAGATTGATATCGTATCATTTCTTCAACATTATTATTATTATTATTCATCATGTTATTTTTTCTCATATTAGTATGATCATCTGGTTTTACTATAGCTCTTAAATTAAGAAAACTTGGTGGTAATGGTCCACATAATGTTGAAAAACAATTCACACATGGATTTTGTTTTGAATAAGGATTTTTCATAGTCACACCTGGACGAGCTGTATTCCATGTATTTTTAATCTTTTTAAACAAAGACAATCAACAAAATAACTAAAAAAAATTTTTATTCTTTTAACACTTACATCTTCATTTGTTGTTACACTACGACAAATTAAATATGTATGATATCCCCAAAGACCAACAACGGACCAAATTGAAAAAAAACAAATTATCACTTCAACTACTGTTGCTGGTGTATCTCGAATTGCATCAATAAATGATGGTTTATCTTGAGCTCCTATGTAAAAAAAAAAAAGAATAAAACAAACATAAAAAACATAGAACTCGTAGAGTCCAATTTTTTTTTGCAAATCTGGACCTAGATCGAATCGTATTTTGATACTCTTAATAAAACATTCTAATCAAAATAGGATAATCATCTCAAAGATACATGATACTTTTTTCCGATTTGTTTCATTTGATAATTATCGTATTCTACACATTTCTCAAATAACTAGAGTCTGTCGAATTCAAAATTTTTAGAACTCAGATTCGATACACTCTATTTCCCAATGACCTCAATATACAACATTAAGCTCATACTGTATGACATTGTATGTTTTTTTTTTGTCGATTTACTAATTAATAAAGTATTTAGGAAGTTTATTTCTTCTTGTTCTTTCAAGCGTATTATCAATCTTTTGATTATTATATGCAGACTTAGTAATTTCTTTTTAATTTTATGAATAAGCAAAAAAATATTCTTTGTATTTGTGCATCTATAAACGAGATAAACAAAAAAAAAAAAACATTAATGATTTTCTGTTGGAAACAGCGTGAAACCATGTATTAAAAAAAATTATGAAATAAGTCAAAGTATAATGAAGGATAGAGAATTATGAATGTAAAAATATATTACTTATTCTTTAGTTTCCGCTCTCGATGTTTTACAGATGATGAAAGAATATCATGAATTAATTGGAACTTTATTAAGATATTATTATTCATAGCTTAAAAACATGCAAAGATCTATTTTTAATATTAATATAATTATTAATTCTTTTGTAATATATAGGTCAAGTTCTACTTTGATAAATATAAGTTCGATTGACAATAGATTAATAAGTAGAAGACAAAAAAAGCATTGATTTTATATTTTGAGAATAAAAGAAAATATCGAGAAAATTAATGCTTTTTCTTATGAATGTTGTTATCTAGGTTATGTTTAATTCACTACAAAATTCTATAATGAGTTAACAGCTGGAAAGATCATAGATGCATTCATTTTAAATTAGTTTCATATGAAATTTTTTTCTGTATAAATTGAAATTAAATCTAGCACGCAAATGATAACGATATTAAGAATGTAATTGCAATTACTATAAAAATTATATTGTATTAAAAAATGTTGATAATTGGCAAAAACTAATCGAAAAATTTATTGATGTTTACAAAAAAATAAATATGTTCTGTATAATGATATTCATTTTTAATATAGAATATTTGAAAATCATTAACAGTATTGAACTAATTGCCTAAAAAATGTTTAAAATTATTTATACTTCTAAAAAGAAGATCGCAAGCAAGTTGAAGAAGCGTGTTAATTAATTTGTGTACTATAATTGTAGAAATTTGCATTTGAAATCAATAAGAATATTCTTATTTTAAATAATATAAAAGAGAAAAATCAAAGTTATTTATATATGCTCTATATAAAAATTCATGTGAATCCTACGAGTTAATATTTTAATAATGTCTCTACTTCTAATGTAAAACTATATCTAATCGATAAATACCTGATCTTCGATAGAATACATTGTTCTAAAATATTCGTACAATCAAATAGATGATGTAAAAGCTCAAGAAATTTATTTATTCTTATACGATTTTTCCGAACTATATAAACAACAATACTACTCTATGTAAATATACTAAAAAATTAGAGATATATTGCGTAAAAGGAAAATCTATTCCAAAAATAAAAATTTTCACTTTTCATACTATCAAATACAAAAACATATTTTCATATAATCCTTAGAACAAGAAACAAATCCTTCACACATGGTCATAACAAAAAAAATAATTAAGCTCTTCAATACTTACGTAAAACAATATTTGTTATATTAAAAGCAAATATATATACGCACAAAATTGATAATGAAAATAAGAATAAATAAAAATATCTATAATTTCGTAGGCCAACACAATTTCCAACCCATGGACTATTATAAAGAAAAACAAAAAACAAAAAATTATATTTCAAATAAATAAAACATACCAATGATGATCGAAATTTGCTAAAATCAAAAATGAAAGCGCATTTTTTTATTTTGCTTCATTTAAAACAAAAAAAAAATCTTATGTGTCAAAAACTATTTTATTATTCTTGTTAATATCAAATATTCAAATAAATTATTCATGTTCTATTACTCAATCTTACTGTTTATTAAATATGAATCGAACAAATCAGGTACATTCTTCAAATCTACAGAGTGGTCCAAATAATTTTTTTTTATATTGAACATAGTAAGTTAAAGCTCAGATGTATACCACATATACTAGGTGACATAATTCCAAGATACAGCATATGATCAGTATCTAAGTATAGTAATTTGTTTAAAAGCGTACAAACATAGAGCAGTTAAAAGTAAGAAAACTAATCTGAATTCTACCAAAACGTTTATTAAAGCAATAAAACTAGTTCATGACATTCACAATAATACGTATTTTTAATAGTGAAGCACACATATAAATACTAGTAGAGAATTCAAAACAATATATGTTGAGATAGTTAAATCTATATTTGTACACATTTAACAAATTACTGCACTTAGACACTGATCGTATGTCGCATCTTTGAATTATGTCACCTAGTATATGTGGTATAAATATGAACTTTAACTTACTATGTTCAATAAAAAAAAAAAAACGAAAAAATAATTTGTTCTGTTACTTTTGGACTATCCTGTACTTAAGATAATTCAAAATAAGAATATATGAAATTTAATTTTCTGCTTCAAATATTTTTTTCGTATATTTAGACTCAAGCTATTAATAAATGTAATAAGATAAATAATCATTTCGAACTTCTATCATTAACAAATTTAACACGTTTTGATTTAATTTTGTCTTTATTAAATAATCATACGTATCAACAAATATGGATTGATTATAATAGAACATCTTTAAAAAGTTTCTATCAATGTTCACAATTTAATTTATATGAAAATCAATGTTGGACATTATTATATAATAGTTTAGAAAAAAAATTTTGTTTAGTTCAAAATTATTGTCAAGAAGAACATTATGTATTATGTCAAAATAAATTAGTTATTTATAAATCAACAAAAAAAAATTCTCTTTTATTTATTAGTCTTTCAATAATAATTATTATTATTGTATATTTTTTAATTATTTATTATTATAAATATCGACAAATAAGAAAACAACGAAAACAATTAATTCGAAATTGTTTTCTTTCTATGGAAGATTTAGATTCATTTTAATAATAACTTACCAATACACGAATCACATAATGAACAATGTGATACTCGTGGTGGTCGAAAAATTTTACATGTTGAACAAAATTTTAATTGAATCACATGTCCACTTTCCATTCGAACGTCAAGTGTTCGACCTGGTAATGCAACATTCTGTGGACTATTTGAAAGATCTATTGCGTAGAAAAAAAATAAATAAATAAAGAATTATTTTGCTTTGTTTTATTAGTATGAAAAAAAAAAAATTTCTAACTTGCTCGTTCATGATAGAGTACTTCGTCTGATGTTCCTCGTGG